AAGAAAGAACGTGAATTGGCAGGAGACAGCCGTTGAAATGCCAGATCTTTCAAAGCCTTTTATGATTTTTTTTACTGCTATTGTCACATGGTCGTATATTATATATATATAGCTATAATGTTATATATCTAAGGTTATAGAAGATTGTAGAAAATGCTAGAATATGTACTGTAAGAAGTAGTATGCAGACTTCCTTGTTGGTTGCGTGGACCGTCCAACGCTCCTTTACTTCACGGTGCCATGAGCTTGCGAGCAAGGGCGGAAAACGCGCTGGCAGGGTTCATATTGCTTGACCTCTGGACGCTGACCTCGACAGCCCGGGAACAGAAACTTGGTTTGGGCAAGGGCTTGCGCCGCAGACCAGGCGTAATCTCCAGGGGATTGCATTGAGTGTGGCATTGCTGTGCGTGTCAAAGCCGCGAGGTGGCAATAGAGAAGTTCTTTGGACAGTTGAGGAGCCAGTATGCCAACAGTGAATTGACAGCCAGAGGCTACTGGAATGCCTTGGCCCGTGTAATGCGCAAGCTGTCCAAAGACTCTAGCAAGCAGGAAGTCTCTCGGGTTGCTGTGGAAGAGCCGCCGCTTTCAGCAACAGAGATCCCTGGTCATGCCTAGAAAGGTTTCTTTAAACCCACAGAGGTTATCAGATATTTATGAAATGCAATGAACACAGCATATTTTAATACATAGTAAGCAAAAAGAAAGAAGCATCGAATAATCACTAATCTACTGAATATTTTTGGATTACTAATGATTACTGTAAAGACATGTATTCCTGTGTCTTTGCTGATCAAATTGTATGCGTCCAATGCCATCTAAGGATGCGGGATTGTGCACGGAAGGCTTTGACATCAGCCTTGCTTTTGGTAAGTCATTGCAGTGCCATTCCAACAGCCACTTTGGAGCGGGACTACCGCAGAGAGTCTATTGGAGATCTTTTTGAGCTGGAGGGAGAAGATGTCAATGACGTCCTGCTTGAGGAAGCGCTCATGGGCTTGGAAGTGGAAGAAACCAGTGATGTCAAGTCTGTGCTTAGCGAGATTGAGCAAGTCGGTCGCATGGAGCTTGCGAAGAAGAATGATGATGAACAGGAAGATGAAGAAGAGCTTCCTGTTGTGACTGACCCAGATTTGGTCAACCTCACCAAGCCGAGTACCAGCAGCAATCAGCTTGATCAGAGCGTCAAAGAGAAAGCGCCATAGACTTTGCGACATGCGTTGGGGGAGAAGGACTGGTCTTAGATGGTGGTAGTGCTTCCTGAGGGTGTATAAAAAGTTTTTTGTTTTGATTGCGCCCAACAGGTTCAGCTGAAAGATATGAACACATTTTATAACATTCTATTTGCACAAATCTCAGCATCTCCTAGTATCTTCCAGTCACTCGCCTGTTTTTACAAAATGTTTTCCCCTAGAGATTCAAGACTTTTTCCATACTGTATCGTTTTAATTTCATTTTGTACTAGTGCAGCCGCGCTCAAACTTCTGTTTCCAAATTGTCTTAGAATATTCCCGACCTGGAGGACTGGTGGTCTGGCTTTTGGATGCTTTCTGTGCACCTTCGCTGTGGCAAGCACGGTCTTGACAGTGAGCATTTGTCCTCGGCCGAAACTGTACGAAAGCGGTCTTGGAAGCTCAATTGGCATCAGTATCTGGGTGCTGTTGGCAAGCTTTCCTTTTGTATCCTTTTGTTATTATATGTGTTTTTTTTTTCGACTTTTTGTTGCGAATGTTATTTTGTGGATTGACCTTTACACACCAATGGTATCATTTGTGTTTGTTGTGCAGAGCATTTGTTGGACAGAGTTTTGAAACGTGCTGATTGCCTTGCCACGTGTTGCTGCTGAGATCATTGGAGCATCAGCTCAAATGTCTCCGTGAAGAGAACGATGAAATGCATGCAGGCCAGCGTGGTGCCAGGTTAGCAAAGTGGATTGCCAGATCAAAGGAGATTGCAGAGAAGACAGGTGTGCAGCTGGGACAGAGCGTGCGGATTCCTGTTCAAGATATAGCTTAACAAGTTTTTCGTTGTTCACTGTTGTTAATTGCTGTTGTGGTCATGTGCTTTTACAAAATGAGTTTCCAATCTCAAAGCACCATCCTTTAGATTCTGAACATGCTTTTTGCAGATCATCTCATACTTGGAAGACCTTAGGTGAAAGCACTTTTTATTTAAGAAAAACTAATTTCCAATCAAAATCACAAAATACAATCCTTTAGATGCTGAACATGCTTTTTGCAGATCATTTCATACTTGAAAGACCTTAGGTGAAGGCGCTTTCACAAAATCAGTTTCCAATCAACATCACAAAATACAATCCTTCAGATGCTGAACATGCTGCTGCAGATAATTTCATATTTCAATGACCTTGCGTGAAGGCACTTTATGAAATGCAATTTCCCTAAATCCATCTTTCTTGGGTCTTCAAATAATGGCTTCTATCAGGCCACCAGACATTTTATAGGCTTCTGGTGTGTTAGTTTGATTTCATAGACAGTTCAGATCTCTTCTGATCAGTTCAAAGCTAGGATTGGGCAAGTCGTGGTTTTGGATTTGGGTCCAACATCTCCTCCCATGCCAGCTATCGTGCACACGGTGTGGCCTACAGGAGTGAAATCGCGACATGTGTGCAAGATGTGACGCTTGATCGTCTCAAAGTTTTTCTGGCGACCATCCTCAAGTTCGGCAAGCCATCCCAGACAGAACCAGTGCCGGATGCAGAACGCGACGTGCACCCCACAGATCAAACCTGGAGGTACTTGCCAGATCACGTGATCGCAATTCTAGACGTTGATTTTGTGATTTCAAACATCAACGCTGGAAGCGTTCGCTTGACTGCAGATTCTTTTGAAAGTACTTTCCCAGATTGAAGCAGATGCAGCTTCTAGACCAGTGGAAGAGGTTGAGTCCAAGAAGAAAGTTCGCGGAAAAGATGGCAAGTTGATCGGCCAGATGCAGACACGCATGCGCAAGGCTGCCACAGGTGCCAAGCAGTAAGCAGCACACCCAGCCTGAAGCTGACCCAAGCACCATTCTCCCATCTGACATTCGCAGAAGCGCTGCCGGTCGTCTTGCTGTGCGTGCCATCTTTAATAAGATTGTGGAGCAAGACGCGCTGATTTGGTCCAAGGCCCCGTGCTTTGATCGCACTACTTTGCCTTGCGCAATCAAGAACCACAAGGAATACTCTCTCAAGTGCAGGGGCCTTCGTACTTCCAATATTGGTATTTTAAAGAATGAAATGCCGAGCGCTATGGCAACCGAGTGCATGCTGACCTGAGTGACATCTTACGGCAAATGCAGTGCCAATCCCGACCGCAAGAGTTTTTTGTCATTGGTTGTGGAAGTGAAACTTACCACAGCTGCGGGGAAGATCACAATTCAGTGATCGCAAATCACAGATCCAGATAGATCCTGCCAAGAACCGAGCGGTGACATCGCTACACACCAAATTTTCTTAAATCACATACTTTTTTTTGTACGGGCTTTTGGACAGCTGAAGAATTCTGTTTTCTTTTACGAAACGAGGATCTGATGCCGCAAGCGGGGAATGTTGGGAACCGATTCAATCTGCGAATCGCTGTGAAAAAAAAGTGTCTACGTAGGCTGCGCAACGCATTCTGTATAAGTGCAATGTCTGGCACTGAGGCCCTTGTGATGCTGTACTATGCATTTTGTATAAACTGACCTTTTCCTCCAAATCTGAACATATCTATGGTTTAATGTATTGGCATTCTGTAAAAACGCTGGATCCCTAAACCAAAACATTTTATAGTGACTATATCCTTTACAAACATATCATAAATCCTATGTGTTAACAGAATGCAAATCCACAGACTCATATGACAATCAAAGAGTATTATAAAATAATTAATCTCGTAAAATCCCGCAAGAAAAACAAGGAACACACATTCGGCAAGAGTGAGTTTCTTGAGTCCTAAGGAGGATGTACAAGAGATCCAACACCAGTCCGTGTTGGAAGGCCCTTTCCTTCCGAGCGTGTCCTGTTTCAATTTAGAGGGTGTGTAAGAATGCAGTGCAAGCGTGGCACGAAAGCTTGTTGTTTTTGGCTCAGATGGAAATTACAGGAGTCTTGGCAAAACTGTACTGGTTGTCTTATCTAGTTGAACAGCTGGAACTTGAGCAGAATAGTTTACCTCCGATGTTTGTTGTGGGTGTATGATCCTTTTCTTTTTTGTGCAAACAGTGTTTCACCTATTTCTCCCACCAGAGGTCACTCTGGGGATATACTGACATACTGTATACTGTTTGCGCAAACGTGTTACAAACCAAAGCCACGCGGTTCAAGTTCAGGAAGACACAGTTTTGATGAGACAACAACAATGTGTAAACCGGTTTCATGTCAAAAACATTGAGCACGCTACTGAGTCTATTGAAAAAGAAATGGATTCTGAAGACAGTAGTGGGTCTGAAGCTCCTGAATGTTTACCGCCTCCTGGAAGTCCAGTCCGACGTTTTTTGATTTTGGCACCACCGAAGTAAAGGACATTCCTAGGTTCGGGTCTCCTAAAGACTCTTTTAGAGAGTGTTGGACTGTCAGGGTAACGGTTTTCAAGACATGGAAGAAAACCTGTGCTTCTGCCCGCCTTCAACTCAACGTCATGCTGGATTTCTTGAGATGCGGGGCTCCCTTCCTCACGATCTGCTTCTACAACAACTTCGTGGGATCAACATCGAGGCTCGTCATTGAGGCCCCTCTTTCACCATCTCTTCTGAAAGAGTATTGTGTGATTGGTTTCCGCGCTCTGCAATGCTCCCGACGGAGAAGAAGAAGATCACCGCCGTCTGCGTGGACTGCCATGAGAAGATCGCAGCGAAGTGCTCGGGAGCGCCACCATCCCGAGCGGGAAGGCCTCGGAAGGATTAGCTGTGTCTGCCACTTCAATAATGGCTGGCGCCTGGTCTGTTCACCGCAAACAGGCATGATTCTGTCGACAGTCGAACTGATTGAGCCTGAAGGCAACATGGTGGCTCTGTTTGGCCGGTGCTGCGTTACCCGAACCTCAACCTGGTCATCTACGACAGGTCATGCTGCATCATGAAGGCTGGCAAGAGCACAAACGGCCCCAAACTCCATGCAAAGGGACACGTTGATGGGCGTCCATGCCATCCAGAGAAGATCCGCTCGCTCAAGATGCAGCCCACAGGCGTCAACACATCCTTGTCAGAGCAGATCTTTGCCTTGTTTCGTGGATATGCCAACACGTTCAACTCGATGTTCCCACAAAGCCACAGGTTCTACGTCTTGGCATACTCCCGACGTTACAACGGCGTAGTCCAGTGCGAGGACGCAAGTCATCTCAACCACTATTCAACTACTAACATAGCCGCCCAGAAGAAGAAGCTCATGAAGCGTCCAGGGTCCCGGCCCTACGTTTCCAAGCGCCCCGCATCACAAGCAATATCTGTCTGGTATACCTTGAAGCGACCGTCAGCCTCCACGCCATCGTCCTCTAACGAGCACGGCAGAGCTAGATGGCATGAGCATTGTGGGCACAGTGAGTCTGGTAGACAGTACGATAAGCATTCAACTCAAATGCCGGATGGAATAGCCCAACGAACTCCTCCTAGCCAGGTCATGAAGCACTTTTGCGGATGCGTCGCAGCTGCATCCATGTGTGTCGTTGTCAGCAACCATTCACATTCTCGACAGTTGAGGAGTTCATGGGACATGACGCAGTCAAGGACGGCAGCCGAGAAAAGGACCAAACACAAAAACCCACAAAGCACGGGAAAACACACCCTCCCAAAGGAATTGTTCACCTGGGCTTGTCGTCTGACATCCGCTGTAAACCAGCAGGCTTCTTTGGGGCTATCATTAAAGCCATGGTTGGACTCCCGCATGACCGGTTTTAGGACCATCACCCACTAGGCCTGGCAATGGGCTATACCAGGTCGAAATCATTCTGGTTCCGCCATATCGAACAGGTGCCACCACGAAGAGCTGTTCCGCAGGTGGGGGCGCCCAGTGAACGAGTAGCGGTGAGCGTTTGGGAGCGGTTACCCGTCAGTGAAGCAGACCGTGTGAACCATATGAACCATCCTGTTGATAGAGGAAATCACTTCTTCCAGCGGTTTATGTTTAACTTATTGAACTACTGTATATGTTTTTTAGTGTTTGCCTGGTGTACGTCCTTTGACCATCATGTGAGAATTCGCTACGTCCTGATCCGATCCGAGACATCGAACGAGACGTGCGGCGCCCGATGGCGGCGAAACTGTCGTCATCCGGTCGCCGTGGTCCGATCGGCTAGCCAAATCAATACCCATCAATCCATAGAATTGGTGATCGTCAGAGTTTCGTGTGGTTTTAGGGGGATGATGGATATTATGGCTGTGGGTCTGACCCGCTTCCTTTCCCGCCAAGAAGGCCAACCTACCTGGGTGAAACAGGCTCCAGGTGCCACAACAGCCATTATGGAATTGACTTAATAGACCCAGAACCAACCGTAACATGGGTATACTTGGCAGTTGCACGAGCAGCGCTTGATTTGTGAGGTTTTTTTGGTCCTTGTGCTGAAGGGTGCCTTTTTTTTTAAGGTCGATTTACCATGTCCTGGAGGTTGAGAAGATCAGCTGGTGTCCTCTGGTGTCTGGTGTAGCACTACTGGCCGTCCTTCTACTTTTCGTTGAGGGTTGAACAAAACATCACAAAACACAACCATGTGGGAAGATCCAAGATCACTCCTGGCTGTGGAGACTCGGCGTATTTTTCCAAACTTTCGAGTTTCCTGGAGGTCGTTCCCTGGGAGGTCTCCTCTTTTTTGAACACGATCCCGGACGGGGCGTTGAAATTAGGAACTGTCCAAACCCTTCGGTTTCTGGTTGATGTTTGAGTTCTCACGTGTTGGATAACAGGATGTTTTTGGACCTTTTGAAGACCTCTTGCGACCCAAACAACATGGAATCAGGCCAAGCTAGGGTGCGTCCCAGAAAGCCCGCAACAGTCGGCATTACAGATTCATCCCCAAAGAATCAGGATCCAAGCCTGCAACCGAACAGTCATCGTCCACTGGGCCCTGATTGTCTGGGATTTACCCAATTCCTTTTGGCAAGTCGCACGCTGGGCGAAACTTCACCGACGGAGGGGTTCAAGATTGTTTGAACCTTACATGATGGAACACATCGGGTTGAGCTTGCGTGCGCCTTGCCGAAGGTGCGGCCCCTTTCGACCCCGGGCCGTCCCCATCCTTGTTCTCTATCTTTGTGGGTCCGTGTTTTGTTTCGTTCTTGGCAGTTCCCCACAGGGCCCCATTCGGATTCTGTGATTCGGTTGCGTGAGTTCATTCAATGCCCGTCCAACCCACAAGGAACATCCAGCGAAGTGGACCGTCACATGCTGATAGAAGCGATTCAAAGCTCCTTTTGTGCATCTCCCCATTCAGGATCTTCAGCTGCGCACTGGGCACGGCTCGCTGTGAGCCACTGTGAAAAAACTAGTTTGCTCTTGGCGACTGAGCCGTAGGCCAAGAAGTTCACCAATTCAATCTGTGGACGCGTATATACAATATGCTCACGATTCGATTTTGGGGATTTGGTCCAATATGGTTCCAACGGATTCCAACGAGACCTTCACCTGTTCCCAAAGGCAATCACACCGCTCTGCGTGACGAATCTCCGCTATGCTCGGCTCGTCTATGCCAGTTGATGCGAGGATTTGTCAAAATTGTTTGTGTCCCAAAAGGACATTGGATCGTCAATGAAAGTACATCATTTACAGTATATATATATATAACTGATAACCGTTAAAAGGAGAATGGGAGGCTGAAGAGCCATTGCACCTGAAGAACACCAAGTCACGCTGCCATTTTTCATGAATACCTACCTTCAGTAATACCCACTACACACCGACCAACGTTGTCTATGTTACTAGCTCAAGATTTCACAGGTCCGCCGCAAACTCAAAATGACTGCAGCTGGCATTGGTTGCTCAGTTCCCAATAAATGCAGCGAGGCCGTTGACTTCGGGAAATCAGTTCAGCCCCTCCTAATCGGTGGCATGCGAAGCGACGTGCTTTGCACCTGTCGTCTCTTTTAACTCATCGCGCGTGTTCACACAGGCGCCCTGCAGCCTTCTGACGCCGCCAAGCCGTCTGAGTGGCACAGGGGGTTGCCAGCTGAGGCCACTCCGCAAGTCCATGGCCGCGAAGCACATCAAGAACGCGGCGGACGGAACTACAAAAAGCCCAAAGCTCAGAGATAGCTTGGACTTGATGAAGTAGGACATTGCATGATTCTTGGGGCCTGCAAGCGAAGTCATGTCTCACAAACGTCCCGGTGTGCTGGCTGTCCAGTGGACTACTGCAATAGCCAACCTGATTGGTCTGAAAAGCTTTGGAGCTCGTTAGGTGGACTGCGACGGGTCAAGTGGAGAGTGGTTAGGCAAAGGCGCCCAAACAACGGCTTTTGTCCGGCAAGTGGAACTTGCATTGCCTGCACGCTGTCTGGTCGGTGTGAAAAATCAGGCCATGGTTAGACAACGCGCCGAAGAAGGAAGAGTCCAAGGGAAAGGCGCGTGTTTGGACAGCAACGTGTCATGAGCTTCGGAGGCTGGGTGCGACTTCACCTACCCAGACAAGCATCCAAACCAGGGGATTTGTGTTGTTTCATGGTTCCAATTTTGTTGGGTGCGCACGGGAGACTTGGAACAGGCCTTCGTGGGAATGGAGGTAACAGGGAACTGTTAGGGCGGTTGATTTTGCCAATCAACACGGTTAGTTTGAACTTGAAACAAAATGCATTATATTATATACATATTGTACAGGCAAGACCTCCAAACATATTGTGTTTTGGTATGCATTCCAAAGTTGCGAGGTCGCCACTTCCCAACCGCCGGTGGTTTTGCCAAACTATTTGCTTGGGCACAAAACGCACCTGCTTTAAAACACTAGAACTGATCAACTCTGATTTTTCAAACCCAATGAGCAGGTGAATAGATGATATTTGTTGTTCGGCCTGCAAAGACGATTTGGGTCCAATTTTGATCGAACATCCAGGTGTTGAAACACACTTGCAGAATGGTTTCCTGGAAAAACACGGCACGCCATGATTAACAATGATGATAACTCCGCATCATCAACAAATTTACATGAACAAACCGTTTTCAAAACAAAACAGAACAGAACCCAATATTTTCGTTGGGTGACTTAGGTCCTGAACAAGGCATAGCATATCGGGGTTGTTGGTTCATGTTCTGGATGAAACCGGCTCAACGTTGTGTTGCACACTGAGATGACTCGGGTCGGAAAACGCGCCTGGTTCCTGGTGCCTTGCCATCGGTTAAGATAGGGATGTAGGGGCCGAACAACCAACCCAAGCTGTAAAACCTGGATCAAAGCAGGTCAAGACCTCAACCCCCTTGGCCCATGGGATCCATCCTGGCATAATGTCTGGCTGGGACCATGAAAAACCCTCCACCTGATGGTCAGGGCGCCGACCCCGGCTCCTTCTTGGAACATCTCTACGGTAGCAGCGGCGTGGGACCAGATGCGTGGACCGCCCAGCCGGCCGTCTGGACCGGCCGTCGCGCGGAGGTGTTGGCCGAACTCTTTGGACGGACCGTAGATCCGGGACTGGCCGAACTGGACGGATCAGGAGGTATAGGTGTCAATGTACAGTCACATGATCACATGGATGGTTTGGGATGTCTATGACCTGAGTCGGTTAAAACGGACCATGACAGATCCACTTGGGGCCTAACACGGACACGGGAGTAAAGTAGAGGGACCAATTCGTGATTTTGGGATTGAATGTTTGATATAATTATTATATACTCCCGTCTAAAGACCCAGTGAATAGAAGAAACTGCGGTATATGCTGCTTGCAGAAGTACTGATTGTTTTGTACCTAAAATATACTGATGCGGACTCAACGCGACAGTGCCGTGGACGCGCTTCGACCGTGGACGGGAGGATGTACCTGAAGTATACAAGTCTCGTTGCCTTCGGTTCAAGAAGTCAAGGACACATGGCTCGGTGCCACCGAGCCAGCTGTTTTCTACCCTGCCCCTTCGGGCGGGAGCCATGAGCATGACTCGCTTAGTTTCGATGCTTCGTGATCGTTCACTATAGCCAGGACTCGCTGTTTGCCTAAATAGCATAAGGAAGCTATATATAATAATAGTGATGGCATGTGATGGCTCCTCCAACCTAATTAAGAGCGATGGCCTCCCACCTAGAAGCCTCCTGGCCTCCAGGACGGCATGAGAAAATATCATCTGAGAGGTTGAACCTTGGACAAAAGCTTCTCGTCGTTGTTCCCAACGTTTGCAGCTTGTACCCGGTACCCGTTGTCTCTCCATGCAAGAACAAGCCATCCTTGGGTGTACTGGACTCCCAAAAAAACGGTGCCAACCGCTGATATAGACCCTTTCAACCAACTTTGGTCGCCATCGGGGTTGCCACACCTTCGCCACACCAAACTGGGTCAGTGTTACCTTCCACCGGGCGCATGCCGCCGGGCGAGGGAGATCCACCACTGTTTGGAGGTCCCTGTTCTGCCTGGTTCGGTTCGAGGCGGATTTGATCCAAATGATCGAGCGCGACTGCGTGGACCGATGCCCCTCCGTGAAGTCCGGGAGCCCCACAGGGACCGGTGACCGGTGACTGGTGACCCGTCAGCCGACGGCGTCGATCAGCACGGCGGGTTTTCTTGGGTCTGGCGGATGGCCAGTTTCATGGGGGATGGGCGACCAGACTCAGTGTGGCATGTCCTGATTGATTTCAGGGGTGACTGACTGAGGGGATCCTGGTGTGGATTTCCACGATGAAATGGTGGGCCGGGCCCATCTAGATGGGGTGGTCAATATGCCACTCCCATTGGTGGTGTTTGGCATTGGGGAAGAAGAATCCCAAGAGCCCGGTGTCAGTCTGAAGGTTCCCAAACGTGGAGGGCTTGCGGCTGCTTTTGTTGTGTTTGAAGCACTCCGGGCTGCTCGTGGGCTGCTCCAAGTACGTTGTGAGAAGGTACTTGGGGTTGGGCTTTAAGTTTAAATACCTTCTCAGGAAGTACCTGGGATCCCATTTGGGTGCAGACTTCAAACATCGGATCTCAGGGGTCGAAGTGGATCCCGCGCAAGCGCGGGGGGTTCATGTCTCATGTTCTCCTCACAGCATGCAGAGGTCTCAATCAAAAACGATTCACTGGTGGAGGGGGTGTCAGCTTGGAGTGGTTGACGTAGTCGTACTGGTGGAGGTGTCAGCTTGGAGCTTTCGCTGCAGGTGGGAGTCCATCGCGGGCCTGGAGCAAGCCAAGGCTTTGCTCGAAGAGGCGCGAGATCCGTGCGGTCGGTGTTCAGCGCGGTCGGGTGGTCGCTTCACCAGGATACATTAGGTCCGCTTGAACCCTCCGGTCCATTTGATCATGGGGCTGGAGAGTGCAGTGGATGGCAGCACTGTTGGAACGGTGGAGAAAATGGATGGCCTGGCCTTCAGTCTGAAAAGTACGTAACAGCCCTTCCATCACGAGACCTTACGAATCACGAGCGTGAGCCATGATGAGCCGATGTCACGCTGCGACACTGCCGGCGCGCCGCGGTGTGTGCACCGCGCCGCGGTGTGTGCGACACTCTCGAGCCTTGGTGGACCTGGCGTCGACTTCGCCAGGCGGTGATCTTGCCTCAGGTAATGCCAGACTACTTCCAGGCAGGTGGGACAGGATGGAGAGCGCATGAGACAGACATGTTTTAGGCAAACGCTGTGGAACTGGGCAGGTTTTAGACCCAGAGTGACATGGTGATCAGGTCGCTGGTATCTTTTGGACGATGCTTCAAGACACAAAGCAATTTGGGACCTTCTATATATTTGGATGTATCATGCTTGTTGTTGTTTTTTTGCTGGGAAGCGCCCCTTCCAGTTTTGCATGATGCGGGGTATGAAGGTTTCAAGCTGCCAAAAGCGGGACGATTGAGAAAGGAGGAGTGTCCAGCTCGCAGCAGCTTGTACACGACGCTGCCCGGCGGGCTAGCGGTCTTCCTGGGCAAGAGGGCCTTGTCCTGCTGTTGGACAACTGGACTGCCCACTTCTTGAAGATGCTGGGAACTGTTCAAACTTTTCCTATTGACTTTCATACTCCACAAGACAAAGGCTCGAATAATTATGAAGACTCAGTGGATAGTCTCAGACTCAGCCAGGAAGAAGCAGTCTCTTGAGCATCCAGCTGTGCATTTTTTTGGCTTCGCTGTGCTTCGCTATGCTTCGCTCAGCGCCAGGGGATTCGAAGGCCATGGAAAGGAGTTGGGGGATCCCAGAGTTGCAGAACTCACGAGATTCGTGTGGGATCTACTTGAGATGTGTGACCCATTGTCCTGGTACTGCCGCAAGCACACCAGGACTTTTTGATGTATTCGAACTGCCGAAGATTCAAGAAACCTATAACCTATGTGTATAAATGTGTATATATATATATATTTGAAGTTTACAAACATAGGTACCATACAATGAAGTAAGCTTGACCTATCCCAGACTCCATGTAGGAACAGGAAACATGTTGCAGACATTTACTGCACCTCATTTGCCTAATGTCGTTTATATAGCTATGCCATAGAATGAAGTCTTCGCTTGACCTAACCTATTGCTGCTGTTCGGGCCCGCCCAGGTCTTGATGTTTGGTCCACCGGGCACAGGGAAGACCATGCTGGCCAAGGCAGGGTCTGGGTGGCTGGGCACGACTTTGTTCCTGGGGATGTTGGAAAAAGGAAGTCCGAATAAAATCACAAATCCCAAACACCCCAAACATGCTATCCATGTTGGCTCTACTATGCTTCAACTCCGCCAAACGGATGTTCCAACCATAGTGAAATTGGTGGTTTGGGATGCTATGCTTGTGGTATGCTTGCGGTAGTTCCAAGAATACACCCGGGAAGAGACCGAACCTGATGGACCTGCGAGGAACATGGATGCTTCCTGGTTCGGTATGGATCCCTTTCGTCTTTCCACCAAGCGGAATCTGTTGAACATCAAATTCCGTGTTTGGACGATGTTGGGATGCCATCCCAAGGCAAAGAGCGACTTTTTTCATGGTGTTTTCCCACCAAGCTACTCATTGTTTTTCCACGAGGTGCCCAAATAAGGTGAGAAAATACGAGGTCCCCAGATGTCACCATGTTCTTTGAAAGATGGTCTTCTTGGTACTCTTCCTGGTGGGCATCGACCAGTCTCGTTTTCCCGAAAAATCAGGCCGTGGCGACGCAGTGCTCCACCTCATTCTTCAATGTCTCGGCCTCCACCATGGTAGGCAACCCAGCTTCGGAAACGATAGCAAAAACCATGCAAAAACCATGCAAAAACCATGCAAAAACACCAAGACACAGTTGAACTGGGCAGAGTTCTGTGTTGGGTGACCAGGTGCCAGAAAGGAAGGAGAGTGAGCGAGGTTCAACGTTTGGTATAGAAGTCTCTTCGGCTTGGGGTATCCATAGACGAGCACATCCTGTTTGCAGACCTGTGTTTTCTGATTTTGAGATGTAGGCAGGGATGTACCAGGGGGCTTGGAACAGGACTACGGCAGACATGTCAGACATTTACTTGGGCTCAGACAACTTGAACCGCCTTTTGACGCTTCATGCAGCCACACGGCCCAGCCAGTAGCCTTCATAAATATATGCAAATCAATCCTTGGAGTAGATACACCTGGTTTTGCTTATAGCATGCTCCTATATTTTCCCAAGCTGGATGAGTCCCCTGGCATAGGGGGGGGTTCCTGGGAGCCGCAACTCCGCAACTGGACCGACTGAGGCGAGCAAGTACCGCGGTGACTCGGAGAAGCTGGTGCGGCTGCTCTTCGAGTGTGGGAGCCCAGGGCGGACGGCCGCGGTGCTGGCGGCGCCTGGCGCAGGTGACAGCCGCCGCACCACGCGGATAGTAAGCATTTTGGTTCCCGTTTTGCATTGTAATTGTATGCTATACTATATAATTTGTATTAATATATACTTTTGGAGGGTCATGTGGTGTGGTGTGGCTTAGATGTGTATCCATTAGTAAGCAAGATTCCTTTCTTGTATGGTATGATTGTGGATATATATATATAATCATGAATGATGATGATTGTAAAAGTTTCACTTGGATTTGCACTCAGAGTTCAATGTCCTTGGACTCTTCGATGGGATGGCTGAGTTGGGGTTCAGGTGTTGGGACGAATCAGCCCAGAAACTGTAGGAGATGACTCGAAGGCCTGCCCCCTCACAACTCCTTAACTTCCTCACTCAGCCAGAAAAAGGAGCCCAACAAATCCATAGCAAGGCCGAACAGTTAGACCCAAAGAAGAATCATCCTTCGATATCCTTCGATCACACTAGGAGCTCAAACAGTTCAGGCCAGAAACGCTTAGCTCAGATGCGCAGAGCTTGACAACTGGAAGAACATGAGTAGTCCTCATATCTCCTCCAGAAACTGTTTTGTCTTTCACCTACAGGGTCCTTCAAATGTGCTTATTTGCAGCACTTTCTTTCATGCGGGTGGACATGAATCCGTAGTTGAACCATGGCTACCGGGCGTTCTCTGTTTCATCTATATATCATTTGCAAGCAAAACATGAGTGTGTACACCAAGTTCAGTGGCGGTCCAGAGTGTAGAGCTGCAAAGCTGACTGCAAAGCTGCAAGCTGACTGATGGATTGAGCTCAAGCACCAAAAACCTTGAGCTGCGCACTGGGTCTCAAGATGAGAACCTTTCATGATATTCAAAGCTCTCCTTTCTTATGCGTTCGGTCTGCTTGACCTCCGTATATATTGAGCATTCTTCAACGCGTTTCTCCTGAGAAATGCTCAAATCAAGGGATTTGAAAAGCCAGGGTCCAGGGATTCGTGGGTAATACATGTTCAGAAGGAGCCCATGGGATTGACCATTCATGGTGGTATTTTTATAGGTCGACCATGTGACTGGTCATCCATTCTCCTCATTTTCCGGAACTGACCCATGTGACCGGTCATCCATTCCTCCGAAGGCTCAGAGGCCCCTCCCAGTTTGGACGACATCGATTCCGAGCGCGCTTCGTTGCGTCGGTTCGGCGATCGCCGTCTCGTCGGTTCGGCGTTCGCGCTTTCGCCGATGAGGATGGCGCGCTTCTATTCTCCGACGACCATCTTCTTCGACGAGATCGACGCGCCACTGAGACGCACTCCCCACTGGGACCATGCTCCAAACATATCATGGGGGAAGATGGAATGCATGGAGGCTCTGGTAGGTCTCAAAGGGCATTGCTCATACTTCCGCAGGCGCCTATGCGGCTATACTAAGCAAGTATTGGTTGCGGTTCAGACCATTGAGGAGCCAATCTCGCATAGTTCACTCGGAAGGCACTTGTGACAATTTCTTTTGATTTCTTTGGATGTCTTTCGCTCCTATCTGAGTCTGACGCAGCGGCTCTGCTTGCATTTGCAGCTTGTGGTGCTTGAATGAGTTG